TTTTCTTATGGTAATACCATTGCAGGATATGAAAGGGCAGTACTCCACCAACTTTTTTTTTCTAGTATGTATCCATAGTTGCTTTTCTTTGACATAGTCAGTCTGTTCTCCTTCTACTCCCTCTAGTTAAAGAAATAACTAAAAAATATTTAAAGATTTTCCATCTGTTACTTGCAGGAAAAAAATACTTAAACAAGTAACATCCTCCAAGTCTTTTGCTCTATTTAGAAGAATATTCACAGCACCATATTTCAGAGTCATCATCAATGAGAATGGATAAGTGTTTCCTCTATAAAGGCTTGCTGGCTGTGTGAGCCACCTAAGCCACTGGTACACCCTGGTGAACAGAGTGACATCCTTCATCACATTCACATATAAAAGAAAGAAACCTTGAAAATGAGAGGTGTGAGGATAAGCATTGATTCAAAGGGAATTTGTTAATCTGTGTTTATTTTCTGAGATGCAAATGTTGAATTCAAGGGTTTGATGGGAAACCAGCCTGGACATAAATTTATATATTTCCTCTACAATGAAATTTGATTAAAGCATAGCAATTTGGCTCTGCCTTCAAAGAAAAGGTAGCTTTATCACTGTGAAGCTGAATCATATGAATCTCAGTTATGTGTAAGGAATCCATCTCTTTCATTTCCAACTGTTAGGTACTGATTGCTACTGGAAAGACTCTTATGTGCTTGATGATTGATAGGAATGGATTCGAGTTCCACCCATATAACTGTAATTCAGATTGAGAATATTGCATTAAGTGCTGGGAATCAAATTAACTTATACAAATCAATGGATAAGCCTAAAATCCAATAAAGATATATTTCATGAGTATGAAAAAAATGAGTAAGATATATCTTCTACACCAAAAATGTTTCTGGTATCAAAAATAAAATCTAAAGGTCTTGAAGAGATGTTTTATTTTGTAGATACTTGGCATATAAATAAAATAACCTTTTTAAAAAGTGATATTAAAAAGTAAGAATTCAAACCAGCATTTAATTCTTTTTTAAAAAATTATCCTTTAGCCTGTGTTTATTCCTTCCATTAATTTTGAATATTTTAAATGGTATAATACAGTAACACATGCTGCAATTGAGTCCTTGCTTCTTAGGTGTAGAACAGTCTTTACTTTCTTCAGTGGCCAATTACCTGAAAATGAGAATCATTAACATGAGCTTTATTTAACAAGAGCAAAACTCAACTTTCTTTGCAACAGACATGAAGTAATTTAATCACAAATCCTGATGATTGAGAGAAAATGAATTTACTTAGTCAGACAGTCTCTATTTGGTAGCACTTATGGGAACAGAAATGATCTAGATTTAACTTTAAAAGTGGAATTCAATTATAGCTGCCAGGATTCTGAGTTGATCTGGTTAATTCCAACCGTGAAGATGCATCTAGGATATTCTCTGAAGAAAGGAGGCCTTGAGTGACAGCTTAGCAAAAATATGAAATTCCATGTTCACCTCACCTCTTACTTTTCTCTGAACTGTCTTCTTTAGTTTCCTCCAACAAAGAAATTGAACAGTTTTACAGAGTTATGGGTATGTTTTCTTTGTAAAATGTTTAATGAAGTTATATCAGTTGCAAGGATGGAAAAATATGTTGGAGTCTGGTAGTAACTCAAATAGGTAAATCCTTCTCTGGAAACTTCTTAGGAAGTTGAGTCTATGAGAAATACTCAGACTTAAAACTCCTTGGTAAAATAGGTTTGGGAGATAAGATGGTTTACATGTAAGTTGTCTATCAGTTTTTGTTATTGTGGCTATTTTGATTTTATTTGTTTGTTTTTGAAACATAGCCACCTATTTCCCAAGAACTGAGTATGTCATACTCTAGAAACAACCACTTTTTACACATCTGTTTTCATCAAATTCCTTCTACCTATAAAACCCTCTAAAAACTTTGTGCATTTGCAGTTTGTCCTTCCAGACAATCCCCTCTTTGTGTATTCTCTGAAAGTCTGAAAACAAATGAGGACAACTTGAAGGTACAAGTGTCTTTCTCAGTCTACCCCTTGCGTATCAATATGCTCAACAAAGAGTCGCATTCAAAAATAGATAAGTTATTGAGTACAGGTCAAATAAAAGTGAACTTGTTTCTTAAAGGAGAATTCTAACATAATCAAGGTTAGTGTTGATAAAAATGAAATAAATGAAGAAAAGATACAGTTTTAAAAATAAAATGATCACTGGGGGAAAAGAAAGTAAAGCATAGTTTAAATCAATGTGTTCCATCACTGAAAAAGGACGTTAGTAAGAAACTTGGCTTGTTATATATTTTCAGTTCTCTGTTTACATTCAGAACTATATGGTTTTAAAACATTGTGGTTTCTTCTGAGTAAATGTTTCTCAAATCTTCAAATGTTCCTTTGGTTCATACACAGTAACCTTTTTAAATTTTTTTCCCAAATGTTAACCATCCAGATGCAGAACCATGCAGTGAGTCCTCAAATACTTACCCTTCAGATTCAATCAGCAGCATCATTTTACCAGCCTGCTTCATCCACCTAATTCCAGACATCACTTCTAAATACTTCATTATAAATTTCTTTTTATATAAAGACTAATAGTCTTTTAAAAGATATAAAACACCTGTAATCCCAGCACTTTGGGAGGCTGAGGTCGGTGCATTAGCTGAGGTCAGGAGTTTGAGACCAGCCTGGCCAACATGGTGAAACCCCGTCTCTACTAAAAATACAAAAATTAGCCAGGCATGGTGGCACACCCCTATAGTCCCAGCTACTTGGGAGGCTGAGGCAGGAGAATCGCTTGAACTTGGGAGGCGGAGGTTGCAGTGAGATCACACCACTGCACAGCAGCCTGAGCAACAGAGCAAGACCTCATCTCAAAAAAAAAAAAGAAAAAAGAAAAAAAAGAAATAAAGAAAAGATATATAAGCAACAATTACTGGGAAAACTTTTCAAACAAATATTTCAGAAACAGTTGGTCATGTTTCTTATAAATTCTTAGTGAGAATCCCAGAAGCTCTTTTCCAGAATTGTTTTCTACTCTGAGCACCTACTCTGGGTGATCCTTACTTGCCTTGAGTTCCTTTATCTTAAGGATGATTCAAGAGAATCCCTGACCCCCACACCTAGTGTCTGCAATTCTGAGAGGTGGCGATCTTTAACCAATCATCTGTTTATCAAATTTTGAGCAAAAATGTCAAAATGAGCAACAACAACAACAACAACAACAAAAATGGACATGAGAATTAGGTAGTAAAATAGTGTAGACTGAACAAAAAATGCTTGGGGGAGAAAAAAGCCAAAGAATGAGTTGTGTGGCTATCACTGGAAGGAAAGAAAGGGTCCAATGTATAGATCCAATTCATTTCCAAATATTTTCCCACTAAAGATTGTGGAGGTAAATATATTGATGGACTCTGTAATCACTGATTTAAAACTTGTGATTTATAATTACAAGTTTCAGGTGATTTCGAAGAATGCTTTTTCTCTTCTGAGTATACCAAAAAGAACCCCACAAAATGACAATTACTGATATGTTTTCTCTTTGAACTTTGTCTCAATGGTGTTCAAAAACTTTGATGCAATTAATCAGTTCATAAAATACCTTGTTATCAAGTTTAATTGCCTTCACAAAACAGTCATTCTTCCCGAACATTCTCCTTTAATCTCTCATTAATAGTAGAGTGCTAAATGTTTCCCTTTTTTCTATTATTGTTTATTTAATAAAACTTTTGATAAAACCTCTCCTTTTCTGGGTCATGCAAATTGATGTTTTTGTGGTAGCATTTGATCTTTCTAGGAGGCTTGATGTACTTGATAAGCTTTCAACTTGTTAGTGAAAGTGAGATTTCAGTTATGTTAGGCAGAGCTTTGAAATGGGGTTTTCTTTCTTCATAACTTTCCTGAAAATGTGACTCTTCATGCGACCAAACAGAGAACGTTTTATTAACTAAAGAGAGAATTAATGGCACCAAGTAAAGTAACTCAGCTGAAAAGGTTTTGTTTGTTTTCTTTCTTGGTTGTGTGTGGTGTTTGTCTTTTTGTTTTTTAAACATTTACTATTTCTTCATAAGGATGACGTATATCAAAACCTCCAAAAAGAGGTCAGAATAGCCAGTCTAAGTAATCAGTACCGCTTGGCCCAGTATTTAGCTAAATAAATAAGAATGTAAGTGTATTTCTGTCTCAGAAGCTGGCCAGCAAATTTGCTAAGTGATTGATTTGATGCTTATTTTCTGCATGGACTTCTCATTTCCTTCAGGGCCTGTCCTATGGGAGGAAATCAGTTCAGTCAAGCTGACTAAGCCCTATTTTAGGTTTGAAATTTTGGAAAACTTTGAGCTTTGAATTTTTGGAAAACTCCCTTTCCCAGCAGGAATATATCTCCAAAGGATTTCCATTTATCATGACCCAAAGAATGCAACTTGCTCTGAAAAGACTGCAGAAGTTCCATATGTCCAAATCCCAGTACATTCCAAGGACAGAAGTGAAACCAACATATGCATGGCAGGCACCACGGTTTTGCTCACACTAATTCTGGGTCATTTTGCATCAGTATTCAGTGTTGGAGCAAGTCCACACAGAGAGCCAGGGCTGTGTTTCTTCCCTAGCCCTACGTAGGCATTGTCATATTTTAATTTCAGAATAACCACCTTCTTTATCTTAGTGCATTCAGGAATTGAGGAGAAGAATAGAGATTTTTCATTTCAATACACAATTTCTGGGATGATTGGAGGAAATAGAGAACCATGGCACATAAAAATGTGTGATAGGATCACAGAAAGAGCACTTAACTAAAGGCTATAGTCTTGAGCCAGAAATTGTCTCTCCACTACTTTGGGCAAGTTGCTTCATCTTTCTAGGTCGTTTGTGGGATGGGAGCCTTAAACTCCTACAATTCTCTAGTAAGAATAAAAGCAACTTTGTTTTGAAATTATTCTAACTCAACAGAAGTTGAAGTTATGCTGTCACGTTGGAATCTCTAGTTATAGACTAATTATTTTCAACATTTATTGTCCAGGACCCCAAATTACGTGAACTTCTGGATGTGGGGAACATCGGGCGCCTGGAGCAGCGCATGATCACGGTGGTGTATGGGCCTGACCTCGTGAACATCTCCCATTTGAATCTCGTGGCTTTCCAAGAAGAAGTGGCCAAGGTATGGTGGATGGAAACCGCTAAAGCTTATCATCATGATCTGAATGCTTGAGCTATCATACTAATGCCTGCAAAAGACTGAATTTTTGTTATATTTAGCATGTGTTAAAACTTCACCTAAAAATAATTCAGCTGCCAAGTATAAGTGCAATTAAAACACTTCCAAATAATGGCATCGACTTAAGAATTATGGAGATTTTTTTCATTAAGAATAAGCCGGCCAGGCACGGTGGCTCACGCCAATAATCCCAGCCCATTGGGAGGCCAAGGTGGACAGATCGCTTGAGGTCAGGAGTTCGAGATGAGCCTGGCCAACATGGTGAAACCCCTGTCTCTACTAAAAATACAAAATTAGCCAGGCGTGGTGGCAGGCACCTGTAATCCCAGCTACTTGGGAGGCTAAGGCAGGAGAATTGTTTGAACCCAGGAGGTGGAGGCTACAGTGAGTCAAGATTGCACCACTGCACTCCAGTCTGGGTGACAGAGTGTGGCTCCATCTCCAAAAAAGAAAAAGATTAAGGTATTTGATGCAGTTTCTTTGCATAACAAAATACAAATAAAACCACATTCTATTTCACCTAAACACTTTCTCCCAAGTCATTCTCTCTTAGCCTCATCCCTATGCTGCTTCTAAGTCCATCTCATTTCCAGCTCTCTCCTAGGGAACAGACATCTTCAGCCCTTTTTAAACTTCTTAATCCCTGGGCAGCACCTAGTCCACCATAATCCATGTAGTAGTTACTCAGTTAACATGTAGAAGAATGAAAAAATAACACTTTAAAACAAAAACTTTAAATAATAATGAAAATAATACTTAAATAAGAACAAATAATATTTGTTCAATTGTGGACTAGAAAGATAAATTAGATATAGCCTACCCATTGAGGTGCTGCTATTCCACTAGGAGCGAGCCTTTCAGATACTTACAAAAATAGCTAGAAAGCAGGTATAATACAGCAAACAAGAAGCTGTGAACATCTGGGACCCCTAGATTCAAGTGCAATGCTTTCTCTAGAAATGTCCAATTGTCATTGAAAGAGTACTGAAATGAGCATATTTAAAGAAGAACTTTCTTTTCCCATTTTTATAGTTTATAAAATACTAGTGATAGTCCTTCTCCTTCATATAACTTCCTTTAAGAGTTGAGAATATGAATCTAAGAATACTTTGAGTCTGTGTATAATATATATGCCTTACAGAGCTTGTCATGTCATGCCTCATAGCTACAGGGTCACTTCATGTCTGTGGGCATTGTCTGAATATTGCGATCTACAGTTTTTTAACCCTCAGTGCTCTGATGATTTTCTGAGCTACACCGAATATGCTGGCCTGCTTTCTTGCTTTCTTGTTTTCTTTTCTTTCCTTTCTTTCCTTTCTTTCTTTCCTTCCTTCCTTCCTTCCTTCCTTCCTTCCTTCCTTCCTTCCTTTCGCTTTCTCTCTCTTTCCCTCTCTCTCTTTCTTTCTTTCTTTTTTTTTTGACAGAGTCTCACTCTGTTGCCAGGTTGAAGTGCAGGTAGTGGCGTGATCTTGGCTCACTTCAACCTCCACCTCCCGGGTTCAAGCCTACACGCACATGCCACCATGCCCAGCTAATTTCTGTAGTTTTAGTAGAGATGGAGTTTCACCATATTGAACCAGGATGGTTTCAATTGGCCTGGTTTCTATGTCATTAGTGATTATTGGCAGGGGTTTATTTCTAACACTTACGTAATATTGACTTTAATTCTTATAATGGGATGCACAAAATGCCAACTAGTTTTAATATTCGAAGGTTTTTAGAAACTATGCTTTCCAAGTATTTTATAAACAGAATCAACTTTCTCTCTTTAAGAGCCAAGTTACTCATTTATTTCTATAGTATCATTTATACTTGGAGAGAGTTCAGTTCAATGAACATTGTCTATGTGACATATACTTTATTTCCCTGCATATGAATAGATGGATAAATGAGTACAGAAAAAAACAGATTCGAAATGTTTGCAAAATATTTTTAAAATATCTTTCCCCAAATGAATTATATTCCTTTTTTAAAAAGTGACCAATTTATGGGATGCACTAAATCTCAATTAAAAGCGTGCAATAAATGGCAGTGGCTTTCAGGGAAGCTTTTGCTAAGAGTGAATATATTTATATTACACATCAATCTGCATATCTTAAGTTGCATTAAGCCTTTGTGCAGTCCTATCTAAAATATAGTTAATTTCCTCCTCTCTGTGGGTTCCTACCCACTAATTTTCCTTAGGGATTTTTATCTCCAATCCTTGTAATATTCCCCATCAGGAGTGTATCTGCAGAGATTTTCCCAGGGGCTACTTGATGTTCCCGGTATAATTAATGAAGCTATGGAGAATATTTTGCCTTCCCTGGCTGTGATGTTCTGTAGAGTATTTCCCCCTGCCCCACTGAAACTGCTCAGTCAGAACTTAAGATTTGCAAGTACTACTGTTACCTTGGAGCATCAGGTATCACAGTCACCTAGAGAGCCTATTAAAACACACATTGTTGCGCCCCAGCCCCAGCAGGTCTGGGATGGAGCCTGAGCATCTGCATTTCTAACTGGTCCCCAGGTGATGCTAATGCTGCTGGTCCAGGCACCACACTTTGACAATCTCTTCCTTAAAGAAGCTTGGGCACAGTATTGCCAGATCTTGAATTTTCTTCTAAAAGGAGCTGCAGAATCCATGAAAGATGTTAAATATTGGCAACAGTTGTTTAAAAACACTATGTGAACCAAAAAAACACAAGTATGGTCTGAGTAAGACTTGGGGGCTTCCATAGGCAGCTTTTGTTCTAGATTCACATTAAGAAAAACATTGTGCTAAATAAAACCTCAGGTCCTGACCACTGAATACAATGGGGAAAGCACGTAACATTATCTTGCAGAGCAGAATCAGCACTCTCCACCACATTTGTTCATTCTCTAACTTCCAAACCATTCCTAGAGCCCTCTGGGTGCTTAAGAAATGTGACCTTTTAAGACAACATTTTTCAATAGACAGAGAACCCTCTGCCCCCTTAATGGTCATTGTGGACATTTTTCAGAAGTTTTATAATAGGTTACTTTTTTTGTGACTTAGATTGTATCCTATTCTTAACCACAGCATCTCTCATCCCTTATAAAGGAAAGAGGTACAGAATAATATAAAAGAAAATCTTTTGGATGTCTCCAGATTCCATTTTTAAACACGTAACTTGAAAATTAAAGAATAAGGGAGACAAATCATGCCTTTGGGCCAAATTTAAAAGTCAAGAAGAATACAATCGTTACACAATGTTCTACAAGTTTACCTTACAACACTCAACCCATTAATTCAACAAATGCAAACCAAGCAAACGAGAAATTACTGCTGGAGGAGACAAATATGGGTGTTTTTTTTTTTCTTGCTGAAAAAAGTAAGACTTTGTTGCAAATAAAATATGTTGCCCTTAAAGGCCATAATTTTGGCTCTTCTTGAGAAGGAACTAAATGGGACAGAACTCATATCCACGAGTTCTGAAATTCTGGCCCTAGGAAGGAACACAGTAAAGAGGAGAGAGCCCTAGAGAAGATGTCTATAAATCAGAAATGTTAGCATTAATCTTCTGTCAAATGGATATGAGCCTTCAAGTCCTTTGACAGTTTGGGTACATTCTTCATCTATAAAATGAAGAACTTGGATTCATTCACTCATTTATTCAACAGCATTTTGTTAAGCCTTCTGCAATGTACCAAGTTCTATTCTAGATGCTGGGGATAAAGCAGTGAAGAAAACAGATAAAGACCCTTGCCGAAGTGGAGCATACATTCTAGGTGGGAGACACAATGAGTAAAATAAAGAAGTCAGTCACGCGGTGTATTAGGAAGAGATAGTGATATTGACAAAAATGAGGTAGAGATGGAGAGTGCAGTGGAAGAGGGCATTAAATAGGGTGGTCAGTGCAGCCATCTCTGGGAGGTGAAACTTAAGCAAAGACTGGAAGGAGGTGAGGGAGCAAGTCAGGAGGATGTCTGGAGAGACAGCACTGCACTTGCACTATAGCCCTGAGGCAAAAGATAGTCTGGTGTACTTTAGGAACAGCAAAGGCCAAGTGTGACAGCAGCTAGGTAAGCAAGATTGAGGGAAGGTAGTAGTAGCAGAGGGAACTGAGGAGGCAATTGCAATTGATTTTGCTGTAGGGTGGCATAGGCTTTGGAAGGACTTTGGCTTTTACTGTGAGTGAGATGGAAGCCATGAGAGGGTTTCAGCTGAGTATAGATGTGATTTGACTTAACATTTAATCAATAATGAACTGCGTGGCAGAGGGGAAATAACGGAAGCAAGCAGATTCATTACCAAACAATTGAAACATTTAGGTGAGTTGCTAGTGACTTAGACCAATGTGGAATGTGGAGGAAATAAAAAGGAATCCAAATTTGCATGTATGTGTACACATACACATGCACACACACACACACGTATATTATAAAGGAGGAAGTGACAGCATATGTTTATGAATTTTATGTTGCATGTGAAAGAAAGATGCATGGAATCAAAGATGATGTTAAAAGTTTTGGCCCAAGAGGCAAAGATAGAAATATCATTTACTGACATAGGGAAAATATAAAATAGAGCATAATTTTTTGTTTAGGAATATATAGCAGAAGTTCAGTTTTGGTCATGTTCAGTTCACGTAAATTTGGGGGTCATTGGGTGTTTGATTGTATTAAAAAGTCATCATACTTTTTAATGAAGCTGGATGAGATCAGCCAGGAAGTGACTGTAGATAGAGGAGACATCCAAGGGCTGAATCATTGACACTCTAACATAAAAGGAAAGAATCAGAAAAACGGAAGCTGAGAGGAGGCAGCCAGTTAACACCACGCTCATGGGAACTGAGCCAGATTATTTAATGTTTTATTGAAATGTAGCATACACAGAAAAGTGCACAGTTTCTTACTCTATACCCTGATGGAGTTTTGGAAAAGGAATATATCCACCTAATCAACATCCAGATCAAGAAACAGAGCATAACCAGCACCCTAGATATCCACCCTACCTACTTACCTCTATATTGGCAGTTAACATTATAGATTAGTCTTACCTGTTTTTAAAATATCTGTAAATGAAATAATACAATAAAATCTTTTTGGTCTGACTTCTATTATTCAACATTATATTATGAGATTTAAGAGATTCTTCTATATTTTCTGTGTGATTGTAGTTTGTCCATTCTCTTTGCTAAGTAGTAGTCAGTAATTTACTTACAGTTGGTAGACATTCAGGTAGTTGTGAGTTTAGGACTGCTATAAATAACGATGCTACAAACATCTGCCTTTCTGAGAGCTGGATATTGGAGTGTAATGACTGGTCATAAATCTTTATGTGTGCTGCTTTGATAGATACTGTCATTTTCTCAAACTTGTTGGCCATTTTGATTTTTAAATATTATTTCACACATAGAAGAAAAATTTAGCAGAGGATCTCTGTACATTAAATTATTACATTTTGAAGTAGCTGTCACAGAAGAAATGCGCTCTCTGAAAATATGTTCTATAATCTGAACATTAGTCTTTAGTGTTTGTAATTTTAGATTCTTCCCCCTCTGTAGTTGTGAGTTTCTTGAAGAGTCTAATTCACTTATCTCAAGGGTATGAGTATGATTTTCTGGAAGTTTTCATTAACTTCATCTGTATCAGTTTCTTGTGCACAATCTAAATAACACACCTGCTCTCTGAATTTCCTAACTAGCTCTCACATCTCTTTCCTGCTCCTTCTTCCTGCCGTCTTGTTAAGCCCTTGTCAGGTCTAATGTACAATCATTACCTACCTATTTCCTGAAATTCTCTCACACTTTGCTCTACAAATCTGCCTGCTCAGCTGCATAAGAATGGCCTTTTAAAAAAATAAACTCATTCCTGATCATATTTTAAATCATTTTCATTCTCTGTTGCCTGCAAAATGAAGTTTCTGTGCATTTAGTGAACAAATATTTATTGAGGGCCTAGTATGTGCCAAGCATCTCACTGGGCACCGAGGGTTTATCAGTGACTAAACATAGCCCCTACCCTCAGGTACTGATGGTTCACCGCTTTGACTGTTGCACTGTTCTGCTCCAGCAGTTCCTAACTATTTGTGATTCTTCTGCCTTTACAATTTTAATAGTAATGCCTTTATAATATGGTCATTTCCTACACTGCCTTTCTCTCTTTTGTCCACCAAGAAAAGTCCTAGGCCTCCCGAGGCACTCAGTATCAACTCAGTTCATCCATCGCTCGCTCCATCTTATGACTTCCATGAATAGCCCACTGTTCTTTCATCTGTTGTTCTGTGAACCTTGAACATATTTTCAATTAGTTATTACACTGTAATTATCAATCAGTGTGTCTGATAACCTATCCTGTATTTGTGAGCTGATGAAAGTCAAAAACAATAGTTTAGTCTGTTTTGTATTCCCAGGATCTAACTTAGTGCTTGGCTCAATAAATGTGGGAGGTGTGAGAGAGGAAAGGACGGGAAAGGAAAGGAAGGAGAAGGGAAAGGAAAAGGAAAAGGAGAGGCTTTTGAATTCTTGAAAATAAGTGATAGGTCACGTAAAATCTAAGAGTCATAATGGCTTTTAACATCATGTGCTCCAAACTTTTCATTTAGAGTTGGGAGAAATTAAGGCCCCCTAGCAAATTGGTTGCTCCAGGCTTTTCCCAGAATAATTCTCTCTCCAGCTTGTCAGGATTCTCAGTAGGAGGACCCAGGTGCCATTCATTATGATGGCTTCCATTTTCCTAATCTTTTTTTTCCCAAAGCTAACCTTATTCCCACTCAGAGTTACTGTGACTGTCACTTCCTTACCCAGAAGTTGCTCCACACTTTCTTAAGCAAATGAAAATAACTTCTATTTACCAAATAGTTGACACCTTTCAGGCCAAGGAAATGAGAGAAGATGTCACAGAGAGGGGAATTTCTTTTAAGCAAAAGACATTATAGTCTATGAAATGAAGTTGGGAAATAGAAAAGAAAGAGGGGCAAGTGAAGGGGTCTGCTAAGGCCACCTCCAGGCCTTTCATCAAAAACTTCAGGAATTTTCTTAGAATTGCTCTAAAATAATAGTATTCGCTATTTAAAAGTGACCTCAAGAGACGTGAGATTCTTATATTTATTTTTATTCTGGGAGCATATGCATCGAGGTAAGAGTTTTCAAACACTTGCGTATATTCTGTACAAAATGTACACTTTATCTTGTTTCTATTTTGAATTTCAAACCAATTTAAGATGAGTAAGCAGCAGTAGCTGTAAGTTTGACTTTAAATGATGAAAAATCGTTAAGAAAAGAAAAGATGATGCCATAAATTGTGTTCAGCAATTTGTTTTGGGACATAATGGAAAACTGTGCATGACTTCCTTACGAGTAGAATACATGTGCCAAAAAGATCACTGTTTACAAACATGAAAAGTTAGATCCACAAGTTATTGTGTTTTGTGAGATCATCATTACCTGCTATTCCTGACCTTATTATATTTAAAAAAAAAATGCCTGTGTCGTCTTAGGCTATTCCTCCACCCAATCATAAAAAGGACAAAGTTCTTACTATGTCAATTCATTGCACTATTAGTCTTGGAATTTTATAGTGGTAGGTGTCCTTTGTTGGAGAATGAGATTTACTCTACATTCTGCACTTTTTGGATATGTGTCAGGCAAATGAAGGATGAACAACTTAAACTTTTGTATTGTGAGAACATCGTCTATCTGGAACATTTGTTTAAAAGCTCATAAGTCAAAAGAAAGACATTCATATTGAAAAGATTTTTATTTAAAAAAAAAAAAGGCAACTTGGATTTCAGTCTCTCCCTTACACTCACAGAAGCAGCAGCAATTGCTATTCTGGTGATTGTGGAAGAAAGCACCCCTGCCTTCTCTCTCCTGGGTGTCTTTTCTGCATTTGCTAAGCAAGAGCTTTTTTGGATCCAGACAGTGTTCAGTGGTGCCCACATAAAAGCAATTAACGTCAAACTGAAGGGAAAATGTCAACTCTGAGTCATAGAAATGATTGTGATTTCAGACTGTGTGCTACTGTTAGTACAAACTCACCTCTCCCCAGAAAAAGAAAACAGAAATCTGCATCAGCAATAGTATCTCTTCTTTCCTTCCATCCACTCCATTGCACAGAGACAAGCTACTCTTCCACGTACCTCTGTCTGCCTGGCTTCTGATGCCTGGCAGCTAAGTAAGCCCTGATTGCATTACCTGTGTGCCTAGCGTGGAAGCAGGAACACGGGTACCACAAAAAAAAAAAATAACCATAACTTTTTGGAAGGAAGAAGAGTTCTAAGAAAATCTGGCTTCCTTGATTAAATTTCTACCTCCACATATAAAATATTGGGGATGGCAGGGGAATATTGACATAACTTTGAGAGAGGCAGGTTGATCTGTTTCACCTTTCACCTTGATATTGGTTGCCATCTTTAGTAGTTAAGCCAAATAATGCCCAATGAATAAGCTGGCACTACGAATTAAAAACACTTTTTGAAAATACCATGCTAATAATTTTCCTAACGACTATATTACAATTTTCATTCATTCAACAAGTATTTACAGGCATAATCAGCCAATGAAAAGGAGAAACCAGAAGAGGGAAATTAAGGAAGATATTACAAGAAAACATCTGAGAGCTAAACAAAAGTACTGGTCTTAAAGTCTAAATAGCAAGTATAGGAATGGAGTAGGTTCAGGTAATCAGTAGGAAACTACAAGATGACAGATAAATGAAAAAGACTTAATTTTTTTCTCTCCAAAAGAAAGTTAAGGTAGAGGGGTGGGGATAAATGTATCAGAAATGTATTATCCAAATATCAACCATGCTAAAATATGTAAGAGTTTCAACAACTGAAGAAAGAACTTAAAAAGATCCATATATACTTGTTATTAGGAATGTCCCTTTGGAGAGCCATGTGGGTTACGGTGTTAGAACTAAAACAAATAATCTGATATATTCTAATATGGCCCAGCAGAAAACTATAGTTGCAATTTCATACTCATGTAAATTTTTATTGGACTTGTTTTAAACTTTCAGAATCAATTTATATGCAAATAAAGTTGTAATTATGAATGCTGAACAAAGATAAAAACTGACAATTTAAAAGTGAGTTTAAGCTAACAAGAGTTGGAAGTAAAAGGAATGGCAGGTAAGTGTCCTCCTGTCACAGAGGAGCCAAGGGATACTATTTTTAATGAATGGATCAAGAGAGTTTGAGTATGTTGCTTGAGTGTTTAGAGGTGACAGGGAGGAACGGGCATGAGTGATAGAACTCTAACACAAGCAAGGAGAAAGGGCAGGTGAGAGATGGAGTCAAATATTTAAAGCCTCCTCAATCAGAGCAGGATATTATAGTCGAATTCTAAAATCAGTCAAGAAAAAGCATTACACGCATGCACACACACACACACACACATGAAAAAAGCATCACACACACACATATATAAATAGAAATATGTAAGTAAACCCCAGAAATTTAAGAACAGAAATGCTGAAAATAGTTGTTAAGAAACAGAACTAGGACATAGAAGTGATCATTGCCTTTCCAACCCCTCTGAACAACTTTTAAGAAACTCCGTCTCTGTTTCATTGATAAATAATAGTTTTTTAGGTTACTATCATTTAACAAGCATATGTTACACCTGTCACTGGTCTAACATGAATTATCCCAATTCTCCTAAAAGTCCTATGAAATAAGTTCTATTATTACCTCCATTTTATAAGACATATGAATATTGGAGGACAAATTTTAAAAGACTTGTCCAACATGATTCTGTCACTCAGGACTTGCATTTGGCCTGGACTAACAGAAAACCAAATCAAACAATAGCTGGGACAATTAAGGATTTTTAATTTGTGTTTTGTTCGGTTTTGCTTTTCTTTTCTTTTTTTTCTCATGTAGCCGGAAGCCTGTCATGGGTGCCACTGGCTGGGGTGGGCATTGTGGGTGGTAAGAGATTTTACCAAGACAGTAATAGGTAAAGAAAGGCAGATTTATTAGAGAAAGTATGAAGATATGTTGCAAAGGTGCAATGGACAGCACAGCAGAGAAGGAGCTGTCTGCAAAGAGGCAGGGATTGAAGGCAAGTTTCATAGGGTCATGATGGAGGGGCTATGTGCAGAATGAGGTCATGCTGCTGGAGTTACTGGGAGTACGTGCTGAAGGAGATATTTGGGAACAGAATGTTGTGCCAGCGGCTTGTCTGTGATTAGCCATCTCAGATTGTTCTCCCCAACCTAGGGCGCTTTCCTCAATGTTGCTTACTTATCTTATTAGGACTCCACAGGTGGTCTCTGGCACTGATTCAGGAGCTCAGGGATAACAAGGCTGAGTGAGGGCCCTGTGATTCTCGTGGCCTTTTTCTCATAGATCGAGATGACTCTGTGGCTCTATTCCATTTACATTCCCTACAGTAAAAGGAAAAGAGCACCTATATCAGGAAACACATTTTCCCAGAACCCTCCAGCAGGCACCTGCTTACGTGTGATTTGCCATGTGGCCCATGGTGGTCATCCAGCTGCTAAGGACATTGGAAAATGGATATATTTTTTCAGTTGGACATATTGTTGGCGTGAGTACTGTTGGGTCTCTGTTAGGCAAGACGGATAAAATATATATTAGATAGCATTTAGCGGAAGGTCCCAGCTAGAAAATAGTAGAATGGTGTTCTGAAATCCAATAAATTATATTCATAATAAGCTAGAAAAAGGATCTGCAATATGAAAGTCAGGAAGAGCCATTAAATAAACTGATATCAATATTTTACTTTTAAATTAGAAGACAAGAAAAAAAAAAAACTGTGTTTAAGAGTGACTATTCCATGGCCTTCACAGGCAGTGAGAATGATCAAAGATGGAACAATCAAGGCCAAAGGCAAAGAATCATTCTCATAGCAGAGGAAGAACTAACGGGATTGAGTTACCAAGGGTCAAATACCCTCTTCATTTGAAGAGAAGAATCTAGCTTGCAACAAGGTTTAAAATAAAGTTGTACGGTATGATTAAGGTAATTTAAAACAAATTTATTTCCAAATGAGAAAATTATATTTCAGCAGAATTCTATCATTAAATTATAAGTTAATGAGGAACTACCTGTGCTTAGTTCACTAATCAGTTTTCAAGTAATGCAGTTTTAATTTTGTCGAACTGATTTCATAATAAGCAGATAAGCAGCATGCTTAATGGCCAAGAAATTGCGATTGCTCCCCTTTTTCTGTTTCACATACATCTTACTAAGGAAATTAGCAGTGTTTTTTTTTTTTAAAAAAATTCCTTTTTTATGTGATCTTTTCAAATGGAATTATTTCTGTAGTGAACAACAATATCAATTATTATTAAAGACCCCACTTACATTTATTGTCTATGGTACACAGCACTGAGGCAGATACAACCAAGGTAATAATTAACACTGAGACTGCTAGGATTCAAAGGCATAATAGCAAGTGTTTTCATAAGAGTGACATGAGACTGTTGGAAGAATCTTTTCAGGAATGTGGTGGATTGACATGAAATCCACAGAAATGAAACTTTGGGGGTTCCGTATATGAGCACACAATTAGCATTTTCTCAGTTGTACAAATGAACAATGACTCAGGAAACTAGCAGGAGGGAAGGGAGGAGGTCTCCCCAGTGGATGCTAAGAATACACCTGAGACTCCCAGTGATACAACTGTAATCGTCTCATTGTGAAAAACTTCAACAGAAACAAATATCTCTCCGTTCTTCTACTCTGTGCCATGGACGTTGCTCTTTGGGGGAGTTTTAATTTTTCCTGTTGAAGAATTCGCTTTAAGTTCATTTTCATTTTATTTCACCACGTTAAACTTTTCCCATTTGGCAGAGGAATGTCAAGAGGACTAGGACATGCTAGAACTGACAGCCTTGACTCTTCCTTAGACGATCAGGATACCATTTAGCACAACAGTGCTTCACTTACCTGAAAAAAAGATGCTTGAGCAACAGTTCTTCAGAATACAGCCCAAAACATCAACCAAAGCATAAGTATGTCTACCTAGCCAACATAGATGCCCAAACCCTTACACAAAAGCTTCTGTACTTTATTAATCGGAGAACTTGCTAGTCCCACGTTATATGTAGGACTCCTAATGTTTGCCAACTATTCCAATATAGTTCACGTTACAACAGAAATGCATAAAGCCAGTATCACAAGCCCTCTAGCCAAAAATGGTTATTGAAACTTATAACAATAGAGGAGATATAAAAACTAATTTTAAAAGACATAAATTATAAAGCATGGAAGTCAGTCACTTTCATTTACACATTCATTTATGCAGTCAACTCAGTGATTATGAATCTATTACCAATTTTATAAAAAGAATGCGAGGCAGAACTATGAGATCCCACGAAAGTTATGAAACAACACACACCCTTTCCTTCTGTCTGCTTTCCCACAGGGCTCCTACGTAATGGGCGTATGCCATGTTTGCTATACTCTCCCCTCTTCTGGTCACTGCTTCTTTCCCAGATCCAATTACTCTGTTGTCATGGACAATGCTAGGTTCTTACCTGATTGATTGTTCAAGAGGTAGACCAAACAGACCTTTCCCAGCATTGTTGTTATTGAAAATGAAGGAATTAGCCAGACCTTCTCTGGTGGTGAAAGACACCATATGTGACAACTCTCGGTGAAGTTGGTGGCCCAGGGGAAGAACCTGTCAGTAGGGAAAAGAAAAATGCCCTCAGGAAGAGAGCAGCGTAATGGCAATGAAGAAAGCCTGTGTGCATTCAATCTCCAAATTCCTGATGATCGTGTATTATAAATGCATTCTTTGACTGTAGTTTTTCCTTCAATTACAGGAAACGACACAGTGCCCTTAATACTTTCTCCTATTTCTTAAGTTAGAGTAGTGCTTTTGTCAACTGTAGCCTAAAGATATTTGAATAACATTATCTGAAAATAATTATGCACCTTTCCTTGATTTGAGCAATATTATTATGCTAGTTGTCCTAATCATGACAATATTGAGTCCTAATATGTTTCCTAGCTTTTAGTTTATTTGGGGTATTTTTATAATTATGTATGATTGGCAATCATTTCTTTTTGAGTATAAGATAAAAACAAGAACACTTTGACCATGATATAAGATCTTCACTGCTACCTAACACAGAAAAACTGTACCAGAATTTTTTCCAAAATTCTAGATGTTCAGTATAGTATGATAAGTGCAGTGAGTTATCAGATAGTCCTTTCTGATTTTAACAAAAGGCTTTCCAGCTCATGTACCATCTTTCACCATGAAAAGATTCTTCACTGCGTCACTAAGACAAATGCTCAGCAGGATGAATTCTAATGCATGCCAGTAGTGAGAGAAATGTATTCAGCCAGGTGAGGCAACGCTGGCTGAGTCACACAATGTTCCTCCTTACGCACGTCACACACTGCCACCCCCTTATGAGTAGAGGTGATCAGAATGACACCATTATCAATGACAGCAATAGGAGTTTGCCAGTAAATAAAAAATAAACATAAAACACTAAAACATAGTTAGGACCTTTACATGTCTCACCAATATTAAAATATCTTGTTTTAAATTATTATATATCCCAGAAAGTTTTAAATATTAATTCAATAGAGGACAAGATAAACAGTGAAACACAGATAATTTTTAGGGCAATGAAACTACTCTATGTAGTTAAATCTCCCCAACTCTTTCTAATGCTGTACCTATTTCTGGTGTGAAACTAGCCCCTGGTAAACATACAAAACTATATCTTGCCCTCAATTATAGATACTTTTACCCATGCAGAAAGTTGGCAGGGAGCTAGAAGTGTCTAAAGCTTGGCCATGAGCCTACAAAATATTATACCAGAAACACATTTTTGAAACCAGTAGTTATTATTCTTAGTTTAAAATTATCTATTTTGAGGAAAATTGATTTTTAATTTGTTAGATAGTTATTGTGAAATGCTCTTCTGTGTCTGCATAAAGCTTGGTGAGCAATAATTTTGCTTCTGTCTTGCAGCTATTCTGTACTGTCTTTTTAAGTCCTCTGCCAACACACAGAGTTCAAAGTCTCAGTATTTCTCACCTGGACTACTGGACTGTTACAGCTTCCTACCTGAGTTACTTTTCTTTGGATTCTCAGCCTCAAATCCATCCTTGACCTGGCTGCCAGATAATCTGTCTGATATGCAGCCTAGCCCCGGTATCACATTTTTTTTTTACCAATTTATCTCCAAACACTTAAATGCTCTTTATCCTCTGACCACAACTCTACTTTGTTGTTGCTACCCCCTCTCTCTTTTCTAATTCCTATTAGACTACTTTTTGTTTGCTCTAACTCCTGCCATGTTAGCTCACCTCTGGTTCTTTTCCCAGTTTTCTCTGCTCAGGTTTCCCTCTTTTCTTCCCGATCACTCTATGTTCCCTGCTCCTCCAGTTCCATCTCGAATGTTACTGTATTACGTGACAGCATATTATCAGTGCCTTAAGTCAGGAAGCAAAAAACAAAAGACAAATCAAACAAAAGTAGAAATAACAAAAAAACAGGTGTCAAAGCAATCAAACTAAAAGACATTATTTCATTGAAGAGGGAGCCGAGTTAACTACAACAATATCAGATGATGACCTAGCTCTTGTGTCATCTTCTCTTGGAGAATTTTCTAGGGGTTTGGGCCCAGAATGTGTTGCGTGTTCCAAATAATCACCCAGAATGGAACTTCTATATTTGTTTGTAGACTTGCTCTTTTCCATTATCTTGGAAGCCTAGTGAGATCATTGCTTTGTGGTATGAGGTAGGGATTAAGATTAGGAGAGTAGTGAGACATTGACAGTGTTGGGAGAAGGGAGAATACTGCATATTGTGTGGCATTGTGATTGACTGGTATAGAGAATTTCTAGAACTGTAGTTAACAGTTAAAGATATCAGGTATAGCTGCTTTGGCATGAATAGTAGAGCAGGAAGATTATGTTTGCATGTTCTGTTGGAAACATATTTGATCATATTTTAAACTTTTTAATGACTCTTTATCTGTAATTCAAGGAAATAGTAAAAAGTGTTTAGTTATTGAAGGGAAACATAGCAATTTTCTATTTATACAAATTTTAAAAAGTGGAAAAAATCTTTGTGTACAAAGAACATCTCCTTAGGAAAAGAGTAGTCCCTCAGGGACTTGAATTTACTTATGTCATTTTTACCCAAAAAAGGGATAATAAAACAAAACAAAACAAAAAACCTTTGGCATACACATTGAACTAATGTGTCTTCCTGGAAGCCAAGCTAAAAGCATGTGTCTAATGACTGTGCAGTATTTAAGCTAATGCAAGTGTGATTTACATTTTTCAGGAATGGACAAATGAGGTTTTCAGTTTGGCAACAAACCTGCTGGCCCAAAACATGTCCAGGGATGCATTTCTGGAAAAAGCGTAAGTCACTCTAATTTTATTGCTAAGGGCGTTGCTTCTTCTGAGTCAGTTTCCTTTCTCCTTTGTGAGTCTTCTGTTTATGCCACACTGACTTCTCACACTGATGAACATAAATTTTCCTTTGGGATTTGTTAGAGAACTGATACCTCCCTGGTTCAGAACTGGAAGACTTCCAAGAAAGATTGCTCTTTCCTCCAAGCTGCACATCCGTGTTACACCTGGGCTGAACTCGCATGAATGTCAGTGCTTTTGACACACAATAAAGAGACACTTCCAAATCCTGGCAGCTGTGCTCAGAACTAAAAATTATTAATATCAGATAATCCTCTGCTTCTACATCTGCGTGTGTCCTCTCAATTATTAATCTGAGGAACAGCAGATGTTCCTCATTTCTCTAGAGTTATAGATCTCTGATAGATGCTACAATACCTTTCCTGACTACTTAAATCAATAGGCTGATGTCCTGATTCCATCCCATGTAGATGATCCCAGCAAGTGTTAGTAAGAAAAGAGAAAGGATCTAAAGGAAAGAGAAGAAGAAAAATAAGGAAAGAAAAGCAAAACAAATTGCCAGATCACTCTGGAATTGCCACAGCCTTTCTAAAGCTTCTTTGACCAAGGAAAATGATGACTTAGGCAAGATGAGCAGCAAGGAAAGCTGGTTGTGTTCATTTTGGAAGCTGTGGCTGGTCAGGAGGTTAGGAAGTCTTTAAATCAAAACCACAAGTGGAAACATTAATAGGTGGTCCTCTATTTTGTTTAACAGAGTTGTCTTCCCTCTTCTTATGTAAGAATGGGTATGTCTTATGTAAGACATACCCATCATTCCAGACATAATACCTCAGCCACATTCTTTTTTTTTTTTTTTTTTTTAACTCTTCTATGAATTCCTTTTGCTTTTAGTCAATATCTCAGGTCTTCATTTAAGGGCTTTTTTATGGGATTGCCTCCTCTCCTGAGTTTGTTACCTTAAGGACTCTTCCTTCATGCCTCCACCTCTTCCCTTCCTTTCTTCCTGTTTCTTTTTACCTTGTCTTTGATTTTATCATCCTTCTTCTAGAATATGTTTTCCAGGCAATGTTTCTAGAACATTTGTTCTTCCATGCAATGTTAGTGAAAGGGGACACAGAGGTAAATAACATGTTTTATCTGAAACATAGCACGTTATTGCTAGTTGGCTAATCAATCTCTACTACGAATGTCTCTTCCAGAAAGATGTCTCCCTATGAATAGCTACTATGCACATGTCTTTTGGTGAACATATTGTGAATATTTTTGTGGCGCACATCTAACTTTAGGATTGCTGGGCCTTAGTGTGTGCAGCTTCCTGAAGTAGAATTCCTAATGTATGCATCCATCAACAGTGACCTAGAGTTCTCATTCTGAGAATGAATATATAAGCAAACAATAAGGAAAATATGGTTAGATCTCAGAAACATACTATTGAGTGAAAGAAGCCAAACAAAAGAGTATGATTCCTTTATGTAAGGTGCAAAAACAGGCAAAAGTAATCTATGCTATTTGTAGTCAGGATAACAGTTCCCTTGGGAAGGGCTTCTGGAATGCCGCTAAAGTGACAACATTCTATTTCTTAATCTGGGTGCCAACTGTGGAGACTTGGGCAGTTTGTGGAAATGTCGCAAAATGTACAAAGGCATGGGGTGTTTTGAGTGTACGTTATTCTTCAAGAAAAAAAGCTTTTTTAAAAAAATCAAACCCTTGTTTTTCTGCTTCTCCAACAGCTATACTAAACTTAAGCTGCAAGTCACTCCAGAAGGGCGTATTCCTCTCAAAAAGTAAGCTTTGTGAGCATTTCTCATTATTCATTTTATTTTCCTCAAAGATCTGAATCCATGCCATGGCTCTGTTTTGTTTCTCCAGCAGCCTAAGTGGGAGTGTGGAAATGCGTGGTAGCCCCGTCCTCCCTCACACATGTCTCATGTCAGTGCAGCTGCTTTCCTCATAGACATCTCCCCGGGGCTTCCCTTTCCTCTGGCATTATTTTCAAGAAATATCAAAGCAGGAAGTGGGTGGAGGAAGTGGAGGGACCCTTGCTGCTAAAACCAAAAGGCCATCTGAGATTCAGATCTATTCTGGGAGTGGAAATTGGCTGACCTCAGTGCCTCTTTCTACCAAGATGGCTGTAGCCCTCAAGCAGTGGTTGCAACCTCAGATGCTAACTGGAGCCAGGCAGGGAATATAAATGACGAAACAGGTCAGGAGGAGGAGGAAAAACTAAAGAGCAAACCTTGTCTAAAGGAGACAACAGCTCATCTCTACCATATATCCTGTGGGACTGGTGAGCACCTGGTATTAGATTGTCTAATGTCTTTATGGAACCCATAAACCTAAATTAGTATATTAAATTGTGCAGTACTTAAGTTTTATTTTTAAATCAAATTAGTAACCAAAACAAGTCCATCTCTAGGTCATATTCAGCCAAAAGTCTTTAACTTTTGACTTACAAGCTACTAGAAAGCTTCTGCGAATACACAAATTAAGCCAAGCACAGTGGCTCATGCCTGTGATCCCAGCACTTTGGAAGGCCAAGGCAGAAGAATTGCTTAAGGCCAGGATTTTGAGAGCAGCCTAGGCAACATAGTGAGACTCCATCTTTGCAAAAATTTTAAAAAATTGGCCAGGTGTGGTGGCACATGCCTTTAGTTCTAACTACTAGGGAGGTTGAGGTGGGAGGATCACTTGAGCATGGGAAGTGAAGACTGGGATCATGCCACTGCACTCCAGTCTGAGCAACAATGTGAGACCCTGTCTCTAAAAAAAAAAAAAAAAAAAAAAGAAATAAAAGAAAAGAAATTAATTTAAAAATAAACAGAAATTAAAAATTAAATTTATTAATAATGCAAGGTACACCTTGGGGCAATGGGTAGTAGTAGCAAGGGGACAGAATTAATAAGGATGTTTATTTTAGCACTTAATATTGGAGATTATTTAATACAATATTTTTTAACTGGATCAGCACCATAGTCCTAAAATATTTATTTTTTACTGGATACCTTAATTTTAAAAAGCACACAGGTTGATGCAAATGCTTGGAGGAATGTATCTTTTCATTCTTTAAATATGAATAACAAATAGATTTGACTGAATGGAATATTTTGAGTTGGATCATCTATTAGTGCTGTGATCCATGTGCCACTTAAACCTCTCTCCTTTGTTGTGTTCACTTCACAGCATATATCGCTTGTTTTCAGCAGACCGGAAGCGAGTTGAAACTGCTTTAGAGGCTTGTAGTCTTCCATCTTCAAGGGTGAGCATGTTGTGTTATGCTATAGTCTGAATGTTCAGCCCCTCCAAAACTCATGTTGAAACTTAATCTCCAATATGACAGTTTTGAGAAATAGGGCCTTTAAGAGGAAAATAAGAGCCTCCATGATTGATGGGTTAATGAATTAATGGATTATCATGGGCGAGGAACTGGTGGCTTTATAAGAAGAGAAAAACAGACCTGAGCTAGCATGTTCTTCCCCCTCACCATCTGATTCCCTGTGCCACCTCTGCCAAAGTAGAGAGTCCCCACTAGCAAGAAGACTTTTGCCAGATGTGCCCTCTCGACCTTGGACTTCCCAGCCTTTGAAACTGTAGGAAATACATTTTGATTCCTATATATTATACAGTTTCAAGTATTCTGCTATATGCATCAGAAAACAGAGTAAGACTGAAAATTGGTACCAAGAGGTGGGGTTTCTGCTCATAACAAATATCTGAAAATGTAGAAGCAGCTTTGGAACTGGGTAATGAACAAAGGCTGAGAAAAGTTTACAGAGCAGGCTAGAAACAGTCAAGACTCTGACGAGGCCTCTTTTTACTCCTATAACTCCAATCAATATTTCAATCTAGAATGACCATTGCTTTTTGTAGATAAAAAAGTTACCTAATAAGATAATATTTCTAAAATAGCCAAAAAAGGCTAGCATTATCAAGATGACAATTTGAAATGTGGTTTCAAACTTATTCACAATAAACACTTCTTGATGTTTTTTTTAAAGATATTAGCTAATGATAGTGTTGAGTTAAGAGGCGAGACTCAACTCTGGTGGTGGGGTATGGACACCGGACCAAATTAAGGACCAGCTGAAACGGGGGAGCAGAAGCAGCTTTCCATAAAATATGCCCATGTCAGTTTACCATTGCCAGAGCAACACCGAGGAATTACTACCCCTTTCCACAGTAATGACCCCATGACCCAAAAATTACCACCCCATCATAGAAATTTCTGTATTAACCACCCCTAATCTACATGTGATTAAAAAATCAGTACAAATATAACTGCAAAACTGGCTGAGCTGCTACTCTCAGCACACTGCCTATGGAGTAGCCCTGCTCTGTGGGAACAGGCATGGAGCTGTAACACTGCTGCCTCAGTGAGGTTATTTTCTTCTACCCTACCACTCGCTTGTCCTTGAATTATTTCCTGAGTGAAGCCAAGAACCCTTGCAGGCTAAGCCCTACTTTGGGGCTTTCCAGCCCTGGGTCAGTGTGAAGCCATTATGTTTAGGAAGATATCTGAAATACTGATTTCATCTCACCTTAGCATTTTAGAATGTTTAGTTTTAAGATTTATAAGCTATGTACACAATTAGTATGGTGCTGTGTGCTTATAAATAAATTTATCTACCTACTTTACAGAGTTGTGCTCAGAAAGTTTTTACTGAGAGGGGTGCAGGATCTAACTAATTTGGATAACACCTACTTTGCTCATACGGTGGTAAAGTAAGTGAGAGGACAAGCACGTAACATGCTTTTTGTTTTTATGCCTGACACATACAAGGTACATCATGTACATTAACCACCTCAAATGAAATAATTTGCTTTCATTTTGATTAATTTCTACGTTACTGGCTCTAAAATGATTTATTACTATTGTTTCTGGAAGTCCATTGCATAAAGCTTTTTTCTCATGCGGAGCTCTCCTTTCTATTACAAATTATTTTTATCTTAGTATCTAAGCAACAAGGCAGCATTTACCTAAGGATAACACATAGGAAGAACCTTTGAGCCCCTCAAAATGTGCCAGCAATATTCAAGTTGCACTGAATAAGGTTGCAAAGCCATTCTTAGACTTATGATTGAATTATAAAAGTATTGAGTGCTATGGTTAAATTTATCAGCCAATTATTGTTGTGAAGACTTTTCCAAACAGCAAAGTTCATTAACAACTTTGGTACGTCACAAGAACGAAATAAGAGCACCTCTCCACTATCACCTTTCTTCTATAGGTGGAAAAAGCTAATAAGGCTGCAAAAAGTGAGCAGAGCTGTGGAAAGGCTCCCCCAAAACATTTTCACCTTCATTTTATAAAGCAAAATAAAATGTTTGAATCTGCTTGCTATTGCTTTTTTGTTAGATGCTTTGGAGTAGGAACATAGGAACAATGTAACAGTTAAGGTCCTGTCCCCGACTTCAACAAATATTTCTTGAGCACTTACTATGTGCCCATAGGCATTGAGAATATGGTGGTGAAGAAAATGAAACTCAAGGTTTCAAGGACAATAGAGTCTTCTGGGGAAACTAGCCAATAAGCATGCCAACAAATGCATTTGTAAACTGGGGGAAGTGCTATAAAAAGAAAGACTGGAGAGCTACTATTGCAAGAAGGGAAGCTCATTCCAGAAAAAGAAAACAATGCATGCAAATCCCTGAGGCTGGAAATAATTGCCCTACTGGGTTTGAGCAACTGAAAAAGACTGCTGCATTCAAGCATAAAGAGAAAACCTGAGAGATGGATTTGCAAAGACATGCAAAGAATTCTTTTTCCTTTGCAATCACTTCTGATTTTACCTTTTCTGGATAACATCTCGTAAAATATAATAATCAAAATATTTAACTTATGAATCTAGCTAAGGGAAAGAAGGAATAGAAAATTAAATGCATCAACCAATTCCCCGTAAATTGTAATTTTCTAAACAACTGGATTTTGACCATTCAGTCAATAAATATACATTGCGTAATCTGCTATGTTTATTATATGTTCAAACTACCAGACCAATGTCAATTGCAGACAAATTTAAAAGGAAAATGAGATTCAAATAACAGCAGTTATGTTTAAATTGGAAAAAATTATCTCTAACAAATTAAATGTAATGACAATTATCTAAAGTTGGAGATAACTTTAAAAAACAACCTCTATGCTAAAACTTTGAAAAATTATAATTCATAGTAAAATATAATTTACTTGGATGACTTATAAAATTAGAATGCTTTTTAAAAATCTAAAAACCAAAGACAGTTTCAGAGCTAGGAAATAAATGTTTCTGTGAACTGACTATGACGAATCAAAACTCCATTTTAAATCTCTATAAAAATTTCATTTCTACATAACAATGACTCTAGAAAATATCCATTAATTAGCAAAAAATGTTGGTCATATTGACAAGAGGCATTTTAAACAAGCCACGGAAGAAAAGGGTTATATAAATCATAGATGGTTCTGCATAAATGGGAGCGTATTTTGTAGCCAAGTCACTTAAACTAGATTTAATTGTGCTCTGTAAATAGATATATTACCAGAAACACAGTGGATATCCTGTTGAGACTTTTTTTTTTAAACAGGATCTTTGTGCACATTGTTAGGGATAAATAAGGCACTTGAACTTGTATCCTGGCCGACATGATCCACTAGAATAACACGTTCCTTTAGAAGGTACTACTCTTTCGAAATTACAGTTGCTAGCCTGAAGTTACCCTAATTGTTAAAAGGTAGTACTGAATCCAAAGAGAGAGACAAAGCAATTGCCGTCCTTCTATTAACAACCCAAACATATTTTCCAGTGAGACCCTTGAAAACTGTTCCGTATTCAAAAAATTACCACTTTACCCACAAACTTTCTGAGAACTGAAAATAGTTTATTTGCACCAAATTCCCTTGATTTAAGGCTTATTAACTTGAAAAGAGCTCAGTGACATTTGGAATTGTATAGTAGTCTTGCCATAGCACTGGCATATGGAGTTGCATTTTAACGAAGAAGATCAGGAATAAACCCATGTATTTGTTTCAAATAACAAAGTTTATTGTAGTTGATGGGCACACATGTAATACAAAGAGAAATTAATTATTTTAAATTTGAAGAATAGTATAAATTTTACTAAATACTATGAATAAAATGTGTAAAATGACTTCTGTGTGTAACTGTAATATATTGCCTTTCTTCTGTGCCTTACATCCTGAATATAAATCAGAAACAATCATTTTTGTATTTGTGATTCTTAATATCACTAATATCAAAATTCTACTTTAAAACCACATTAAGTATTCAGTTCATTATGAGTGATTTACTTGTAATTATTTCGTGTATTCCATGGCTAATTGGCTAATTCAATGGTTTATTTATAGTTTCAGAATAAAAATATTAACAATATGTTGAATTTCTGAATTTACTGGGAAATTGTCCATCAACTTGTCAAGACCAACAAGTCTATATGTGGACTTTATTCATTAGAGTCTGCTTCAATGAATTAATATATTTTAAAATAACATTTTTTCTGAATTTTTTTCCAAAATTTAAGTACTCTTTTCTCGTATAATTATTTTTTAAATCTAGAAATGTATAACGAAGAAAATGCAAACCACCATCCCAAAACTAATAGGAATATTTAGTGTACTTGCTTACAGTGTATCGAATTAAGCAACTCAGATTCAAAATATAGTCATTGTCACCTCATCACACCCATTTGCTCACCCAGGACCTTAGACAAGTTTTGTAACCTCCTAGCACCTGAGTGTTCCTATCTATAAAAGTAGTACAGTAATAATGCCAACTGCAAAGAGTTGATGGGCTTACATGAAAATATTCAAGTAAAGCTCATAGAACTATGTTTGATATATTGTAAATGCTAATTATTATTCTCATTTTGAGTATTTTTCATATGCATATATTGGGGGGATCTTGTTTTTATTTTTAATTTGGCATTTGGATATGACATTACCAGGTCTATGAAATCTAGAAATGCAGATGCCACCAGTGCTACCACCAAGATTGTTAATATTTTTCCCTTGAGAGTCCTTGTATACAAGCATGGTATTGAAACAATTCAATTTTTTCAAGTTTGCCAATACTTTGCAGTTTCTAAAATAAATGGGCCTGGTTCAGATTACTAATTTAGATTATACTAGCCTTCTTAAGTCATCCTTCAAAAAGGTCAAACAACAAGAAGTAATCACTGACAGTGCATTTTGTATTGGGTGCCTGATGTGATGGACCAAGTCCTGGATTAAAAGGGAGGACCCAAGGTCTGATATCATCTCCTGGGTTCATCCAGCAAACACTGGTTAGGTATCTACTATATGCCGGGCACCATGCTGGGAACACAAAGGAATTAAATAAGAGATTGTGATGTCACTCAAAAGCTCATAGTTCAGTAGAAAATAAGACATATACAAAGTAAAGGAAAAGCTATGGAAGGATGCAATGACGAAGATAGATAAAGGGAGACTGTGAACACAAAGAAAAAGTAGTGTCATGTCTAGCTGATGTGGTCAGGAAGGGTTCACAGAGGAATATTTGAACATTGGGTAGGATCTTTAGAGTATTAGACCTTGGATTTCCTCCTAGACAAACAGGAAAAATGAATCCGTGCCATTCACTTCACCAAGTTGTGAGATCCAGAAAGAGAAAGTATGTGAATTAGCTTTGTGAATTTCAGTCTTGTTTAAACTGCAAGGAATTAGGGATTATCCATAGCTTTTACCTAAACGTCTCCACTATACCCTTTCATTTTAGCTTTCAATGATGCTTACTTATTTTAACTCCTCTTTACCAGACACTTTTTTTTCCATTTTCACCTACTAACCCCAAAGACTTTGGGGTATCCTCATCAGTCAAGTTGCGCAAAAGAAAAATGAGACAAAGAAAATCAGCTATGTTGAAATGTTTTCTTCTTTCAATATGCTAACATCCAACTCGCAATGAAAATAATGTTGTGTTTATTCAGATTATCTCATTAATTTGACCCCTCCTAATTCACAGCTGGTGCATGAACAATGGTAAGATTTTAGTAAAGCATATTGTTCCATCAAATTATGTGTCAGGACTCTTATGTAAATGATGTTAGTTAAATCTGATATTTCAAAGGAAATAACAGCACATGAGTGTTCGCTGTCAATTTCTCCACATTTCTCAATAAATTACATCCATTCATTTAGTAAATATTTATCTGTACCTACTCTATGTGGCACACTGGAAATAGAGCCATTAACAGACAAGACACATGTCCTAGCTCGTGTGCATCTGCAGATTGGCAAAGAATAGAGAGAACTGTATAGCTGGGAGCACAATACATTGAGTGTTGAAATGTGAGACATGCAAGGTGTGATGTGTGCACAACTGGAAGACAAAACCCAGTTCAAGGAGAAGGCAAGGCTTTCCAGAAAAAGAAGTTATAAACTGAGACGGGAAGGAAAAGAGAGGTCAGTAAGTGAAGGATGACAATTATTGCTCTCCTTAGATCAAATTAATTTATGTGTATGATGGATGAAGTTGGTAGAAGGGGAAGTGAGGTGAACTCTATTTAGTAGGGAAAATAGGAGAACACACTTGGGGTTCATAGAATCCAGTAAAGCTGGAGGCACTTGAGTCGGCCAGCAGTGCTATTGAGCACGTTCTCGCAATTGATTTTAAGTATTTCTCTTCCTTGTGCCTAACAGCCAATAAGTAAGGTAGATAGGGTCATTTTCATCTATTAAAACTATTTACAGAGCTCCAGGTGTCCAACTTAGAGAGAGGGTGGAACTGAAAAGTGTGCAGTCTCCAGCTAAAGAGATTTCTCTCTTTCTATAAATCAAGTGGAATTTTGGAAACGTGCTTGCAGGTTATACTTGTTCCCTTTCTATGAATGCCAAAATACTAATAAAACAATTCACAAGAAGTCCCCACTGCTCTTGGATTTGACCACTTGTGTTTATTTCAAAGTTTGTGCTCAAGTAACCTAAGTTATAATGACACAACACATCTATGTCTAATGATTCATGTATTGTTTGGTTGTCTCAAAATTCTGTTTTGCAAAATAGATTTTTTTCTATCTCTATACATGGATTTAGTAAAGGAAATATTACTTCATTCATTCATTCCACAAATATGGGTCTTCTACTATTGGCCGAGTGATGAGCTAAGTTCTCTTATCTGTCTGCAAGTGGTGAACAACTTCAGACAATAATTTTTAGACATTTGTATAACTGTACATTTCAAAACATATGAAAACAGTAAAAGGAAGGGTGTGTTCTTTTGTTTAAGGGTTTGAAAAATAAAAATAATCACATTAACACGTACCTGAAATAGGAAGACTGCATGAAAAATGTCCTTCCTGTTAACAAAGGCTTGAATACATGCTTCCGGTTTCCATGGCAGCCCAACTAAACAGAAAAATAAGTCATAGAAGTGGCCTTTTATATCAATGACTTGCTTCCTAAACAATAGGACCAGGAGCAATCAGTGGAAAAATAATGACTAGTGCTGTCCTACTTACAAAAACTGTTTTACAACTTATCAGATTATTTAAACCAGAGGGAACATTGTTTGAAAAAAAATGACACAAAATTGGAATTTATGTTTTCATTTTGACTCTGTCTGTCTCTACGGTAATTACTTTAAAAAAAAAAGATTCAAGAAAAAAAAAAAAAAAAAAAAAAAGCCTAAAAATAATTCTGCCAAACAGACTATCTTTCGTAGGTCTAACTTACTTTAGAAAATGTATGTAGGAAATGGCGTTAACATCCCTTTAGCAGGAGAAACTTCTTAAGCTTAAATTAAACTGAAAAAGCCACAGAAAAAAGGGTTTGACACCCTAAAGTCGGTGTCCAAATGAACGCTACGGTCAACCCCATAGGTGTGTTATGAATGTTTACCCTGACCTCCTAGAAGAAAAGGAAAAAGAAAGGAAAGAGAGGGGGAGAAGGTGAGGGAGGGGAGGAAGAAGGGAGGGGAGAGACAGAGAAAAAACAGGGAGGGAGGAAGCTGGGGAACGAAAAAGACCATTTGCTGACTCTGTTGTTTTATTTCCCAGAATGATTCAATACCTCAAGAAGATTTCACTCCAGAAGTGTACAGAGTTTTCCTCAACAACCTTTGCCCTCGACCTGAAATTGATAACATCTTTTCAGAATTGTAAGAGTACACATTTTAACCCACATCTTTTTCAGCTTTCATTGATTCTCAGGTGACTAGAGCAGGACTTTGAGTGGTAATTGGAGATGGAAGAATATCATACACTATGTTTAAAAGCAATATTCCTGTGTGATGTTTTGGATAGGATCATACAATCTTGCCCATGAGGTGCAACCACTGCTTTCAATGAGTACAAGTTTGCTGTGATATATTGTCGGAGGTAGTTGTTTTTGTATGCTCAGATAACTTTGTATGGTTGAGGGATTATGGGTAGAACAGGGAGTCATCTTGGCTTAGTGGAGATAGACTCATGTCGCAGGAAGAACTCTGGATTGGGAACCAGTTAGTTTATCTCTCTGGGCCACATTAGCAACATGAGAAGTTTGGATTACTAAGAACCCCCTTAGCTGAAGAATTATTTGCTTTTATGTTAGAAATTATAAACTTATATTAAGGCGTTACTTTTTTTGAAAGATTAGAAGAACAAAAGGAAAAAAAAAGAAAGAAAGAAACCAAGGCACTAAGGCAAATATGGGGAAAGTAGCAGTTTACCTTTCCTGAAATACTGAAATCTACATGACAGAAAAACAATACAAAATGTGGTAAACAAAATAAGGATTTCTTCAAATGGAAGACAGGCAAACAGTACTGCTGAAAATGACATTCCATATTCTTGCTTTGTGCTGTTCATTGCCATCATATATTTACTGAACATCTGCAACATTTGTACCACTGAATTTGTCTTTAGATGATCAATACAATTGAAATGGGAAGTTTGAACGATATGTTGAGGAGTTATAGTCTCTTGTTGAAGCCTAACTGTAACTTTTAAAAATGCTCAAACAGGTTGTTTACTTTAAGTAATGATAATAAATACATCTTTAAATGATTAGGGATATGGAGTTGGATGATTAAACCAAAAATTTACTGTCATAATCAAAAAACCTCTGTGTTCTGTTTAGAGTGGTGCACCCTTCTGCACATCGTGCAGTGTTTTTCTACTGTGAGTTTTCTTACCCATTTGGTATTTTTCAAGAGCATTGGGTTTTAGTGGTAGCAATTGCACAAGATATTTGCAGCCCATAGAGGTATAAAAATCATGTTTTTAGGGCAAGATAAGAGTTTCAAAATAGCATTTTCTTATCAAGCATAGCAGGATTTTATTTCCCTAGAGTTAAATGCAAATATATGAATGAAACTTAGTTTAAAAAATTCTTATTTATTGGTTTTTAACTGTTTTTAGTGGTGCCAAAAGCAAACCATATCTTACCGTTGACCAGATGATGGATTTTATCAACCTTAAGCAGCGAGATCCTCGGCTTAATGAAATACTTTATCCACCTCTAAAACAAGAGCAAGTCCAAGTATTGATTGAGAAGTATGAACCCAACAGCAGCCTCGCCAAAAAAGGTCAGTACTTCCTTTCACACCAAAGGGAAGCTCTTGTTTCTGATTGGGGGTAGTCACACCCTGGGAGTTAGGAACACCAATGATTATTAGATTAGTTTCCTCTGTTTACAAAGGCATCCCTTTCTGTCTGAAATCACTTGGAGGTTCAGTGCAGTAGGTTTTTCTTTAAACTTCGGTGTGTGATTTTTTTGTCCTTGTTGTTATATTTATGAATGCATGTAACATATTTTTTAAATGTCTAATCTTGTTTTGTTTCACATTCACCCAGTGACTTAATGCATATTTCTCATACAGGAAATTCACTATCTTTAGGTTACCCTTTTGGATCTTTTTCTAGAAAGTTCTGTGAAGTGGTCCACAGATTTTTCTAAAGTTCTAAAACTGAAGAGAATATTTAGTCTGTGAGACCCTTATCTTTTTCCAGTATATACTATCTGATAAATTTTTCTATTTGGGGAAATAGTCTAAAATTTGGCTCTCTGTGTAGAAAAACTTAGTGTTGTAAATACAAAACAATCCAAAAATTGATAACCCAAAGGCAGCTCTAAGTTACCTGGAAGTTTTTTTTTTTTTTTTTTTTTAGACGGAATCTCGCTCTGCCGCCCAGGCTGGAGTGCAGTGGCTGGATCTCAGCTCACTGCAAGCTCCGCCTCCCGGGTTTGCGCCATTCTCCTGCCTCAGCTCCCGAGTAGCTGGGACTACAGGCGCCTGCCACCTCGCCCGGCTAGTTTTTTGTATTTTTTAGTAGAGACGGGGTTTCACCGTGTTAGCCAGGATGGTCTTGATCTCCTGACCTCATGATCCGCCTGTCTCGGCCTCCCAAAGTGCTGGGATTACAGGCTTGAGCCACCGCGCCTAGCCACCTGGAAGTTTTTAAGAAATTTATATTTTTGATTCTGGGAAAATGAATTGCCAAAATAAGATCATGAAGATGTAATTACTGCAAGTTTTCAACTACATGTGGCAGCACTGTCCCTGAACAAGATCTTCCACTGGAAGACTAACTCTCATCTGGATTGAAATATCTTCACCAAGAAAATTTGTGTGTTATCACTGATGTTATTGTAGATTGCCTAGATATTCCATAGGGAGGAAAATAAAGTACAATTAACCAATTATTGAAAAGAAATCAATTATATATTAATATGCAGGCATTTTCTAAAGTAACATAAATAGCTCTAGCAAGCTTATAGTCATAAATAAGAATGATTGTCATAAAAGTAAATTTAAAAGTCTTTTAACCCATTATATTTAATCTGGAACTGGTCCTCTAAGTGGAAAATGAAAGCATGAAGTATAAATGGGCCCAGGTGCTGTGGCTAACGCCTGTAATCCCAACACTTTGGGAGGCTGAGGCGGGTGGATCACTGGAGGTCAGGAGTTCGAGATCAGCCTGGCCAACATGGTGAAATCCCGTCTCTACTAAAAATACAAAAATTAGTCGGACATGATGGCACATGTCTGTAGTCCCAGCTACTCAAAAGAGGCAGGGGAATTGCTTGAACCCAGGAGACGGAGGTTGCAGTGAGCCGAGATTGCACCACTGCCCTACAACCTGGGTGACAGAGGGAGACTCTGTCTCAAAAAAAAAAAAAAAAAGAAAGAAAAGAAAGACAGAAGAAGTATAAATATAAAATCTATTAATTATATCCTACATGCTACTACTTGGGAATTTTTAGATGCAATTTTTTAGTTTTCTTTTGTTTTCTTGGTGAAGCACTTTGCCTTAGTTGTTGTCATCATTCTTACTGATGCTGTGAAGGTGAGATTAGTTAAAGGAAACAACTAACCCAACAGTATGTCTTAGCATGGCCAGGCCTGCCCCTCCAAACCTACTTAAATAGGTTGCCCTTTCTTCTCTAGTACACAAGAGATGAGATTTCCCCTTATCATGAAGCAGGGCACATCTTGGAGGTTTTGCCCAAGTAGTGGTAGCAGTTCTCTTCTAAAATCCAAACTTCTCCAAAAATAACATACACATTGTTACAACAAATCCAACAACACTTCTAAAAACCAGTTAGCCCATGACACTAGGAAAACAAAAAGCTTTTGTGAAACCAGTGAAACACTCCAAAGTGTAAGCCTTTTCCTTTCCTCCTTCCTTCACACCACACTGCTGATGGCCCAGGCTTCAGCTGGTATCTGATGCCTCCATACATCATCTTCTGATGACTCGCACAATATAGAGGGTACAAAGAGAAAACATTGTGATAGATTACTATAAAGCCCTATAACCCTAGAAAAACCCATTTTGATTCTAATGGAAATTAAGATGATGTCTCCTAGCATTTGCAAAATTATTTAGTGCCATTTTATGAATTTCAAATCGAAAGAGGCACACAAAATATTTTAAAATTTAAATGTTTTAAAAGCAACTTTATCTGTTTTTCCATACCTTAATATGACATTGATCACAAAACCTCTGTGTCAACCTTAATAGCAGTATAAAGAAGCAACATAGAATAGTGGTTCCACTTTTGAGTTTCAAAGCTGAGATCCACCTCACTAGTTATATAGCCTTGGTGCTTAACTTCTCTATGCCTTCATTATTTCATCTTCAAAATTAAGGACAGAAGAATTCTTGATTCGCTTGTTGTAGATTTGAATTAAATAAAACCTGCAAAGCATTTGGAAAGAAGAATCTGGGCCTGTGTAACGCGATGAATAAGTGTTAACTCTTCTCAATGTTTGAAGTGTAGTGTGTTGGTTTTCATTCCTCAGGTGTCGTTGTCTATTTTTTCTAGGAGATCACATGATTTCTGGGCCTTAAACTTTCTTTTATTTTCCCCAGCACCTAGAAGATGCACCTGCTCATGATGAAATCCTTAATGTAGACTTGCAGGTAGGATCTAATCAGTGACCCACAGTATTTGTGCCCCAACTGATCACTTAAGAATGTTACCTAGTGGTCTCTGTACAGGAAAATTTTGGCTAATGCCATCTCTACCTAAAGCCTTATCTAGCACGTGGGAAGGACAGAGGCTTTGGTGTCCAACAGCTGGAATGTAACTAATGGGCCAGCCACCTGCTACCATATAATATGCATCCTCAGTCACCCCAGGGGACTCCAGCACCAGTTGAGAAGTTCTGGTTGGCTGTATCTGTAGCTCCTTCTTCTCTAGAATCCTTATGAAAGAAATTCAACTCTTGAGAAGTTAGAAGTCAAATTACAAAGACCTTAGTAGGGTCATTTCAGCTCTAAGTCATGTACATAAAAAGGGACTCATGATAGCTGCCTTGTTTTAGGATAAAGTGAGATTGTGTCTGTTAATGTTTAGTTCAGCACACAATAGTCATTCAGTAAATGGCCTAAATTGTTACTGTCACTGTTTAAAGCAGGCCAAATGGTACTAGAGGAAGCACACAGTCTCCCGTGTTCTAGTCTTACAAACTCAAACTTACAAGCCAGCCTACATTAAGTCATTCATAACTTCAGTATTTAATAACTCTTCAGTGAAAGGCAAGAGGCTACAGACAGTGAGAGACCCAGAGATAAACCCTATGTCCCTAGAGATTTGCACTCCTCTTAAACGTATATATATATTATATATGTATAATTCTATATTATTAATATAATATGTAAATCTATTAATAATCTAATATCCATAATTAATATAATATCTAAATATTACTTCTTGAAACCCAATGTGCACCTGAATCACCTGAGCTCTTGTTAAAATGCAGATTCAAGATTCTGCATTTCTAACAAGTTACTGGGTGAGGCAGAAGATGCTAAGCAAAGGCCCACACTGAGTAGCAAAAGTACAGAGAAAAGTGCAGTAAGCATGAAGATAAAGGGATTTCTTCCTGTAGGGGACAGTTCATGGAAGTGATAACATTTGGGCTGAATTGATTTTAACACAGATGAGCTACAGACTTTAAAACTTTAAACTTTTAGTCAAGTAGTTAATACATTTGGATCAATAAACACGTAAGAAAATAAGTAGGGAAGTTTAATATTACATTATAATTTATTCTTCTGCTGCTTTCATTTTAACTGTTTTCAGATGTGCCCAAGTGTTAGTTAAATTGGTGTTGATCTCAGTGCTGATCAGGAAATTAAGTCTTATTTACCTGAGAAAGGCACTTCCATATAGCCTATACTTGTTATAAAATGCTAAGCATGAGATACACACATAATATACATAATAGAATATAAACATATATAACATATATATACAACATATATACACATACACAGAGACACACACACTCTCTGATAACAAGAAACATATCTTAAAGTAGATATTAAACAAATAAATAATATACAAACCTGACATATGCTGTTTAGCCTTTATTTGCATTTTATGTAATTTTTACATAAAACATAGACTTGAAATTAAATGAAAAATTTTTAGTGTCACCAAAAGCCCAAATGCCAAAGCCGACCATAGTTTAGCTGACTAAAAGGGTGACACATGGAAGTATGAAATGAAACTCCAGAAGAGACAATAGACTTTAATCCTCTGAGGACCTGCTGTAATTAGCATGTCAGCCACATCTCCATGCTGAAATTTCTGTTTTGGGAGATGTGTGTGTTGGTTATAAATAATCAGAGGCTTTCTGTGCAGTCTAAGGCTGGGTCATGTGTGTGGGTTCCACAAAGAGAATTTGAGTCTTGTCACAGAGGATACTATTCTCCTGGGAGTTTGGTTTATTTTTACCATTTAAAAATCACACATTGAAAAATACCATGGCCCCTGGTCAGCAAAAGCTTCCTCCTTTGCATGTTGTTTGCACTGTAGACTTAGATATTCCTGGCACAGGAATATGCAATGACCACTGCCTCTTGAAAACAACATGTTCATGAATGTCATACTTTCAAGATCAGTGTCTCCAAAACAGTTATATTTGTAATCACTTAAACTCTTCAGATGAAACACAGTGAGTAAAATTAGCATGAAACATAAAATAGTCTATAGTCTGTAACTTTGGTAACAGAATGCAGACTTCAACTTACATATCTATGAACGAAGGTCAAATTTTACTTAAACTGCCAA